ACCTCCAAGAAAACTGCGGAGATACATTTTGTAGGTAACGTTCTGCACATTCGATAGCTGATTGTCTGAATGAATGGCAGCGTTGTACGTGTCGTAAAACTCAGTCCAGAGGAGAGTATCTCCGTGAAACGTAGGGATCTCAAGTTTTGGCAGTTGTATGGACTTAAATCTGGTTGGTTGTTGCGTAGATTCAACTTGTGTTGGCTGGCTTACTTGTTGTGCGGTATCAGCTCTTGAATTTCCCGCATTAGCTGTAGTAAACCTCTTCGATTTCATATAGATCGGTCTTGTTGAATTCTGGGTGTTCGGGTGGAACTGCGTTGAATATCTCGGCGTCGACAGCGAGCAGTCGTTCCATCCGTATCTTTGAGACATCATATAGTCGTTGAATTTGTTGGAAAGCCAGTTTTTTGTTTTCTTTTTGTTCGTAGTCCCGGATCAGCGGTTCTATCTGGTTCATTATCGTGGTGAGTTGCCTCCTCGCCGTTGTTCTGTTTATTTTCTGTTGAGATATGTTGATTTCTGCGGCGGCGTCGTTGACGTGTTGAATTTCGTTGTCAGACATGTTGCTGGTAGGTTGTTAACAGTCTTGAGTAGAATGCACTGCAGAATCTAGTTAGAATTGTTGAGTATCTTGGTCTCGGCACCAAAATGTGGGTGATATTCGCTCACATTCGATCAGGTTGAAACTGCATGCATTGGATCGTAGAGTTACAATAAAGGAAGCGTAATGTACTTTTAAACAATACACTGTTTATTATGGCGATGTTACAACAAAGAAACTACAATGTAACAAGAAGGCAACTGATAAATACACTATAGAATGCCCCTTTTATAGGGTTCAGTAGGATTCACACCTATTGATTAAAATAGGAGGGAGACACAGTGATAGGTTTTCAATGTTATCGACCTTGCAACTGATTCCTATTGCGTTCGTGCTGTCTATTGATTATTATTAAATGGCTTATGTAACTCGACTCTCTGTTAATTTATAATAGAGATACATGTATTGAAGTGTGAAATCTTGACATGTAATAGCTTCTACTGGCTATATCTCAGCTAATACTGCTTGTGAACGAATAGATAAAGCAAAACATGATCTAATAATATAACTAAATTACGAATGCAAAAGAATAAAACTGAATAAACAACATGA